GTGTTCTTGCTCACTTTTGCCATTGCTGTTTATTGTTCAGCAATACAAAAGCGTCTAAGTTCCAAAGCAAGACGCGATGCTCTCAGAAGTCATCGGTAATTTTTTTAGATTAAATGGATGACTGAAATCAGTTAAACTAGCACTCTTTTCCATCTTGCTTATCAGTATGCCTCAATTTCTTCACTAAGTGATAACAGTCCCATAAAATACGAATTACCATTTTTCAGTATTCCAACTCCGTGAGAACATGGAAACCACCTATCGCAATGGGAACTTGGAAATGAATTGTATCAGATACCTGTTGAAAGCATTTGTATGATACAGACAATATCTATTCATACCTAGGAAGCTGGAGACAGTTGACAGAGTCCGGACTTTCTAGAAAGCCATTGTTTTCCATTCCAAAGATACTGCAATTTCTAGCAAAATATTGCCAATCTTCCCAATTTAAATCATTTTTCTTTTTCCTTTGAATTCTCATTGCTTCAGGCTGTGGACTATAGAACTGTAGTATAATATAGAATACCTACAAATGAACAAAATAGAACTACATTTAGAATTGCTAGATTTATATACCAACATGAATACCAGCATGAAGACAAATATTACATTTCTGTATCCACATGTGGCAATAACTTCTTTCTCAGCAGTCACCGTATATGTGTACTTTGAATAAAAAAAACAGTAAGATGATGCACTAGAAATATCTAAGGGTATGTCTACACTACCACCCTAGTTTGCGGGTGTGTCTAAGGGTATGTCTACACTACCACCCTAGCTACATGCGGCACAGAGTCCGAACTAGCAGACATTTAAAAATGGCGGCGCCCGGCAAGATGCAAATGAATCCCGGGAAATTCAAATCCCGGGCTTCATTTGCAACTCCGGTTGACTACATTACCACCCTAGTTCGAACTAGTGTGGTAGTGTAGACATACCCTAAGATATTTCTCCCCATCCCCCAAACACTTTTAAGAGTTGAAGTAATCTTACTTCTTAACCTGATCTTCACACAACTCCTTGGTAGGCAGTGAAATAATTCCATGAAAATTATTCTTCATTACCTTCTGAGGTCTATTTGAAATTAATACCTCATTGTATAGCAATTCCATGGTCTGTGATATTGCCAAAATTTAGTCACAAGCAAAAAGGCATACTTAGGAGTCACTAAACGGGCGTTAGCAAGTTTTCTGTTTTTAAGACCACCCAGTTTATCACTTTTCCCTGCCTTTGGGCTGGAACTACTTTAAATAACTGTAACAGAAGATTTTCCTCAACCACACCATCATATGGGCATTTGTAATAAGCAGTCCCGCACAAATACTCAGATCAAGTGAGCCTTAATATTCCACAGATATTTAAATTGGCTTTTAAATAGAGACCATGTTCTTACAAACTAACCAAATCTATCCTCATATACTTTTCTTCTCCCCCAAACGTGCATACCCAACTGGAAAAAAAACCCCAAAAGCTAATAAGAGTAAGTTCTATAAACATTACACATTCGGAAACAAATGAAGCAATTCCATTAGTAGCTCTATTCATCCTGAGAGCAGGCCACAGTAGGCTCCTGCCTTTTAGCAGCAAACTCCAACCAGGCCCATATTAAGAAAGAAACTGTAGAAGCTGCAGCTTAGGACCCCTTTAGCTCCACAAAAAGATCTCCAGAATGCCAGAGGTCCAAATATTTTGTGAGGCCCCTTAGATCAGGAATCCAGGCTGCAGCCATCAAAGCCTTGAACATTTTCCAGCTCTGCATGGCCAGAGCAGAGGGTGGCTCCATGCACTGCTACCCCCTTGCTAGGCTGGAGGCACATTGCTGTCCCCATGCTGCGCTTGACTGCAGGCTCTGCCCAGGCAGTTCCCATTGGCCTGGAATCCTGATCAATGGGCGCTGAGGAGAGGGGTGTCTGAAGTGCCTGCAGGTGAGTGCAGGGTAGCACAGCTCGTACTGACTCACCTGTTTCCTCCCATTCCTCTCTCCCATCCCTAAGGGTATGTCTACACTACCCCCCTAGTTCGAACTAGGGGGGTAGTGTAGACATACCCTGAGAGATAATGAAGCCCGGGATTTGAATTTCCCGGGCTTCATTAGCATAAAGCCGGCGCCGCCATTTTTAAAAGCCGGCTAGTGCGAACCCCGTGCCGCGCGGCTACACGCGGCACGGACTAGATAGTTCGGATTAAGCGTACAGATTGCCCTGCACACTGAACTCCTCTTTTTCTCCCTGCACCAGAACCTAAGGGGGTCCATAAAATTCACTAACTCTGCAATCCCAGAAAAGTAAATCTGACCTATGAGAAGCCCTGAACTAGGGATGTTAGGGAGTAGTCGACTACCCAACTAGGGATGTTAGGGTATGTCTACACTACCCCCCTAGTTCGAACTAGGGGGGTAGTGTAGACATACCCTAAGGTCCCTCCCACAGTTTAACTCCCTCCCAGATCCCAACCCCAACCTCTGACCTGGCCCTGAGACCCACTCCTGCATCCTACGTTCCTAACTCCCAGAATCCAATTGCTATTACTGACCCCTAGGCCTGAGCCAGCACCCTAACTTCTACCCAGACCCTGCAACCCCACCCCAATCTCCTGGCCTGAGCCCCTTCCCACACTACAAATCCTTAGGCCCCAGCCTGGAGCCTCTCCTGAAAATCAAATGCCTCATCCCAAGCTTCATCCCAGAGCCCACTTCCCCAGGTGGAGTCCTCAACACCTCCTGCATTCACCCTCTTGACTCAACCCACAGTTCTCACCCACACTCTGAACCTCTCATTTTGACCCCATTCTGGTGACCCCACAAAATCTAGTAGCCTTTGGCCCTCAGAACAGTTAATCCGGCCCTGACTCCAACCAGGATCCCACAGAATCCAGACTGGTAGAAACGCATGTTGGTCTCATTCTTTCTTCTCCAACATCAGTCTATCACATTTGTGATGAAGCAGAGATTGCATATGGTTTTGTAGTGATGCACTTTTGAGTAGATTTTATTTTTTTACTTCATCTGTCTTCCATTGCTCGACAGAATGAAATAAGTCCTTTGTGTTTTAATAGAAATTAAGGTTAAAAATTAGAGCAATGAAGCAACTTAACATGCGTGTTTTATCTATGAGGATAAGAGTTGTCATCATGAAGCCAAACATTAGTTCATCTACTCTGCTACACTTCCTCTGCCACCAGAGAAAAGCCAGAAGCCAGAAACATAATGTACCTGCTCCCTTTTTGCAACATTATGGGCAGCAGGAAATTTCTTCCAAGCCACCAAAGTAATCTGTCAGTAGCTCAAAGTAAGAGATTTGAACTTGCTTATAATTGAAATCTGGTGTGCTTAAACCTCCTCCTTGCTTTGATTTAATAAAATCGGAGTGCATCAACATTCCATTCTCATGCCCCAATGACAGAAAAAAAATCTTCTCATTTACCTCATACTGTCCATTTTGTAAATCGATTGTGATAGTAACTCCATGGTTCAGATGTGCAGTGTTCATGAACAGAGATGAAATCCAGGAGGTCCCAATATCATTATCATTGATATAATACAGGGAATGGGCTTCAGGGTTTAGTCTCAGTACTCTGTCATTAGTTGTGTCTTCTGCACCATTCGGGATGCAATACCTCTGCACCAACGGGTGTACCCGGGGGTGACTACCTGGGCAGCGGCATTCTGTCTGGGTATGTAGGTGAGGCAATTCCCCAGAGAATACCTCTACAATGTCTCTGTCATAAAAAAAATAAATAAAAAAAAAATAGGCACATGGATAAAAGGGAAAATGAATGAAATTATGTGCATGTATGGTTACAGTCTAAATTCTAGCCCTAACTTTAACCACCACTATCATAAATGATCACACTAAATATGATCAGAGCACCACCATTAATTGATTTCTTTTATGACATCATGCCTGACTCTGATCACTAATTTGAATACTGTCCTTAAAACTCATTTATAGCATTGACATAATGTCTATAGTACTTGAGTGTTAGCACATGAATTTTCTAAAAAAACCCATCCAATTGTTCAAGAAGATTTGCATCTTCAAATAACTATGGATATGTCTACACTACCACCCTACTTCGAACTAGGGTGGTTAATGTAGTCAATCGAAGTTGCAAATGAAGCCCGGGATTTAAATATCCTGGGCTTCATTTCCATCTTGCCGGGCGCCTCCATTTTTAAATCCCCGATAGTTCGGACTCCGGGCCCACGGCTACACGCGGCACGGAGTAGGTAGTTCGAATTAGGCTTTCTATTTCGAACTACCATTACTCCTCGTGGAAGTAATGAAGCCCAGGCTTCATTTGCAACTTTGATTGTCTACATTAACCACCCTAGTTCGAACTAGGGTGGTAGTGTAGACATACTCTATGAGTGCAGAAAAAAATGTTTATGGAGAATTTTGGCTTCAGCATCTTAAATATTGACTAACTCTATGTGCCTCTCCTCATGATTAGCCAACTAGGCTCTGACTTCAAAGGATACGGACTTCACTACATTCAGCCATACTTTTTTGGCAAATGAAATTAGGCCCTAGCTCTTAGGTACGTTACACAAAAGTTAAGGCATATAAAATTAGTGGATACTTTTAAATATCTGAGTATTTAATGACCTCATATGCCAACTATCTGTCATCTGAACAGGCAGTTAATTCTGGACATGATATTTTGTGCTCATTTGTTTGTGGCCATTACACCCACAAAATTGGATGATGGTTTAAGAATCTTTTAAAATCAAATTGGACTCAATTCATCCATTGTTTCTTTCATGGAAAAAATCAAGCATTTCCTTGAAAGAATATATAGCCAATGTGATTGTGACAGTGTAGGGATATGTCTGTAATGAATTATGAACTCTATTTTCTATTATGCCTTGCACCCGTGTCTATACTTGCCTAAAGGCAGCCTATTGCAAATGTATTTCCACATGGCTGATCTTCCAAAGTAAAATGACTGATACTTCCTTGTGGGACAATTACTGAGAAACCATCCAAATTACAATATAGGAGCCATCAACTTTGACTGTTTCCCAACTGTTGACTCACTCGCACGGAATAATGGACTTTCTACTGAGGGGTCTGCATGGTAGTGGAGCATACATAACTGAAGAATGGTTGAAAATTTGCCAGTGAAACACGTGGCAGAAACAGAGAACTCCTTCAGAGGTGAGTACTGCTCTGGACAAGGTGACTGATCATCACCACATGCAAGAAGGACTTTAAAGAGGGTTACATCAGGAGAGTCTTTTATATTAACAAACCTCAGACTCACAACAACCAGTGAGATCAGACGAGGGGATGGTGCACTAAGGATTTTTGTTTTCAAAGATCTGTAACTCTGAGAGCTTAATCAGTAAAGTTTCTCTAGTTAGATATTTTTGCTAAACCTGCATTCCTTGTTTACCCACCATGTTGTCCTCAAATAAGTTAAATTAGAACCTCAGGCTATGTCAAGACTGCAGGATTCTTTCGAAAGAAGCTTTTCTCGGAAGAGATCTTCTGAAAAAACTTATTCCGAAAGAGCGCGCCACACACAAAAGCACATTGAAAAAGCGATCTGCTTTTGCAAAAGAGAGCGTCCAGACTGATTGGATGCTCTCTCACGTAAAAGGCCACCCAGAACCACTCCAAGGCTTTAGGTCACCAGTTAATGCCGAGTGCTGGTGCCAGATCCTTGCAGAAAAGGGCCCCCCCCCCCCCTTCCCGTACAGCCATTTTTTTGCTTCTGCTGCATGCTTGCTACCTCTTCAGGGGACAGCAAAGCTTTAGCAGTGCCTGCTGTGGTTGCCCAGTTCTTTTTTGGATGCCACAGATTTTTCCTTTGAGCCATGGAGCCGGAGCTGCCCCGGGCATGCGATGGCCCTATATGGCCATACTGCAGTTTTTACAGAACTTTCTGCTAACTGCCTTCCTGATCTTGCATGAGCTGGACCTGGAGCTTCTTCTGGGGACCCTTTCCCTATGTGCAGCTGCTTCACTCTGGCAACCACACCCCACTGTGGAGAGGCATTTTTGTAGGCTCATCACGAGTTCAGACTGGTGGGACCGGATGGTTCTGGAGCAGTGGAATGACCAGCAGTGGCTCCAAAACTTCTGCATGCAGAAAGCCACCTTTTTGGATCTATGGGTATGTCTACACTACCCCCCTAGTTCGAACTAGGGGGGGTAATGTAGTCACACGGAGTTGCAAATGAAGCCCGGGATTTGAATTTCCCAGGCTTCATTTGCATAAAGCCGGCCAGCGCCATTTTTAAATGCGGCACGGACTAGCTAGTTCGGATTAGGCTTCCTATCCGAACTAGCTGTACGCCTCGTGGAACCTAATCCAAACTAGCTAGTCCGTGCCACGTGTAGCCGCGTGGCATGGGGTCCAACCTAGCCGGCATTTAAAAATGGCACCGGCCGGCTTTATGCAAATGAAGCCCGGGAAATTAAAATCCCGGGCTTCATTTGCAACTCCGTATGACTACATTACCCCCCCTAGTTCGAACTAGGGGGGTAGTGTAGACATACCCTATGTGTCCTACTGGACAATGGGCAATCAGTTCAGCATGGGGAAGTCCACCATCGGTGCCCTCCTTATGGAGGTAAGACACTCTTGGGCTGCAGTCCCTGCAGGGGAGGGGGAGTGTTGGATAAGGGGGATCTTTGGGAAAGGGGGGGTGGGAGCTGTGGGGGATGAAG